AAATTTTTTAATTAAATTATTCTACATGATCTTAATATTGAAAATAAATTTTATTTTCAAATTTATTATATATTTTTAACCTATAAATTATAATAGAAATCAGAAAGATCCTACTCTTAATTTTCATTTTTCTTGTAAAATAGTAGCACGGTCCCTATAAGAATGAGTAGGGGTTCCCATTCTTCCTCCCAGCATACTTCTTAGTCTCTGACAACTTTCCTTGAGACTCTGTTAGAGCAGAGAACTTTAACGCTCTACTCCTCCACATTTTCCTCACTCCTCACCATTTGTTTCTCATCGTCGAGTACCATGTAAGTTTAAAGTTCAAATCTTTCTTCATTTCTTCTACAGTTTGGCATTTTCTTCTTCATTTATGCGCTAGTTAATGGGGTTTCGAGCTTCCAAGTTTCTGTTTCTTGCTTCCCTCCATTGTATTTTCCATAGTTCTATTCTAAATCACTGTATTTAGATGCATCTGGGTTGAGGTTGATTCTTTGTTCATGCTCCCTCTCGTTGTCTATACCATTATGTCCATTATCTGTTCATTGATATGTCAGCCTCGATCTTGATCTTTCTGTGTCTGTATTATACCTCTTTCTGTATCTCTCATTGACAACTTTGCAGATTGGATGAAAGTTTTATAGATTTACTCACATTTTTCATGCTGTTTTTCAATCCCAAGTACCATACTTTAGCTAACTGTGAACTGTGTAAATGTGTTTCAAGCTGCAGATTGGAAGTGAAAGGCTGATCTGGCACAAAAAATGGGGAGATTTTCAATACCCGTATTGGGGTTTCTTCTCTTCTGCTGTTGGGCAGCTTCAACAGAAGCAACATACATGAAATACAAAGACCCAAAACAGCCAGTAGGTGCTAGGATCAAGGACTTGATGGGCCGTATGACTCTAGAAGAAAAGATAGGCCAAATGGTTCAGATCGAGCGTGCTGTTGCAACCCCAGATGTTATGAAGAAGTCCTTTATTGGTAAAAGCAATCATTTTGCAACAATCTCCTAGTTTGAGTCTTTTGACCCTTGAGTATCGCATTTTCATTCACATGTTTATTTCTTATTGGTTTTACAATCACATTGCCTGCTTTTGTGTCGATTATGTTGCAACCATCTTACATTTTCTTGCTCTCTTTCCTAGTGTTGATCTTTTGGAAAATGTAGTGAAGTTTGTTTGGTGAAATGGGTTTGTGTAGGGAGTGTTTTAAGTGGTGGAGGAAGTGTACCTGCTACAAAAGCTACTCCTGAGACATGGGTTAATATGGTTAATGAGCTTCAAAAAGGTTCTCTGTCAACCCGTCTTGGGATTCCAATGATCTATGGTATTGATGCTGTTCATGGTCACAATAATGTCTACAATGCCACCATTTTTCCTCACAACATTGGTCTTGGAGTGACCAGGCAAGTTATGCTTTATCTGAATTATAGGGAATTTTATGCTTTTAAAGTGATCTACAATGATTATTGGTGTGAAATAAGGATCTGGTTCTGTTCTTGAGTCCCTTATACATTGCCATTTCGGTATTCCTTTTGTGGCTCTACTTCTTATGATATCAAAAGTCTGAATGCTTTGTTATCTGTAGGGATCCTCAACTTGTCAAGAGGATTGGAGAGGCAACTGCTCTTGAAGTCAGAGCTACGGGAATCCCTTATGCTTTTGCTCCGTGTATCGCGGTAGTTTTTTTTTTTTCTTTCCTCCGTATATCGCGGTGCTTAACCTTACGGATACGACAACCTTAGTTGCTTGCACCATGGCTCACTTTTGACTTCTGCTGTCAATTTCTAACAGGTTTGCAGGGATCCAAGATGGGGTCGATGCTATGAAAGCTATAGCGAGGATCATAAGATTGTTCAAGCGATGACTGAGATCATTCCCGGTTTACAAGGGGATCTCCCTGCCAATTCTAAAAATGGAATTCCCTTTGTTGCTGGAAAGTAAGAACCTTTATGATAAACGTCTAAATTTCCCTGTTAGCCGTTT